CATCGAAGTCTTGAAGAAGGTAAAGTCTGTTCATAGATATAAGAAAGTGACTAACTGATACGAATTAAGGAAAGACCTGGACAAGCTGTAAGAATGAAATATGGCCGAACAGATCCGTACTTTGCTTAGAATTTAATTATCTGGGGTTTTGTTAGAAAAGATACTAAATAATATTTATTTATTTATGTATTTATGTTTAAATCTAAAATAAAATTACAAATTATTTTTATTACCTACTTAAATTACTTAAAATTATTAACATAATTATTATTTGTTCCATATTATTTGACAGATGGATATACGATTGTTCTGCTTTCTCTATATGCTTAACAGAATTTGCCCAAGTTTGTGGAGGGATGTTAAAAACTTCGGTTTCTATAAGTTTGAGAACATTGGAGTTAACACGGGGAAAAACATTGTTACGACAAATGGCAGATTTAAGTTGGTGCCAAACATGTTTAATGGGATTAAATATACAGTGGTAAGGTGGAGGAAGCCTTAAAACTGTATGCCGTAGATTTTTTGCATAATTATCACAGACCTATTCCTTTTGTAAGTTCAAGCTTTGTAGAACTTCAATTAATTGCTTTTTGGTATAATCTTCGTGAAAATAAATGTCGTTTTTATACATGTAGTTTTGGATTTTTGCTTTTGTGTCACTATTAGGAGGAATGTTTGGAACTAGTTTGTTTTTAAACCAACTTTCAAATAAATCAGCAGTGGTGTCTTCATGGTAATCCAGAGAAGAATCTTTAATATTTTTCGCAGACAGAGAAAGTCCATCCATCCAACCATCTTTAGAGCCAGCATGCAAAATAGTTATTTTTTTACCTCTTTTTGATAGCGCGTTTGTTTTATCAGTTGAGTCAACCCAAACCCTTTTCCGGGGTATCATAAGCGTCGAACCAGGTTTCATCCAAGTAAATAATTGGCCTTTGTTGTTCTCGGTAAATGCAATTTTTTTCTAGATATTTCAGTCGCCATTTCCGAATTCTAAAAGATTCCATTAAAACTTGCCTTTTGTCAATTTTTTAAAATCTAAAACCTATGTGTTTCATCAGGTAGTTCTGCCACATTTAACACCGGTTTCATCTTTTTCAAGTCTCCTAATTAAGATATCTAATGTAGGCACGCTTTGTTCCTCGTATAACTGGTAAATTTTGCGCCGTATTATATCTTGATCACTTTCATCTATACTCGAGAAAATGTCAGCATCGCTTCTTTTTTCTTCGCTGAAATGGGATTATTCACAATTTTCCATACAGTTATGCTGGAGTTTTCGTCAATGTGGCCTTTTCTTCTAAAGATGCTTGCTTGCTGGCACCACGTTGAATGAGAGTAAAATCATCATTGTTTATAACGTCCTTAGCCTCAATAGAATGGTGTTTTCTACTTTTGGGCGGGAGCATCTCCTGAGATACACTAGACTGGCACATATTTTGCATAATTCGCACACGATTCAACACACGAAATATGAATGATTACTAATAAACTTAAACTAAGTGGTATCCCAAACCAAAGAATATTTAACACAGGTAGGTATAAAATGATTTTCTATTACGGACCACAATTTTACCTGAATTTAAATTCCGAAACTTTAGGTACTAATATTTTTGCATATATTTTGATCATACTATTTTGGTTTTGAATGCTACAATATTTCCAAAAGAGGCAAAAATTGATGGTATTTTAATACACATCATAATTAAAGAAGAATATATGTAGAATAAATCCCTCGCAAATCAACAAAATCTTTCAGTTGGAAAAAACGATAGATATATTTTTATATACGTTTTCACATAAAATTCAAAATATGTCAGAAAAAAGACTTATTTAAAACGTATTTAAAATAATGACGTTGATACTTGTCCACCAAAAATGGCAACACCCTGTATAGTTACTAATATAATATTTTAGGAGTATAAATGAATACAGAGAGATTTTGGGCTAACTTTCGTTTAGCCAAAATCATTTACATAACAAGGATAATACTTCTGTCTTTTAGAAGCCTTTATCGACATTTTTTGCGGAAATGTATTATTTTCTCTTTCTTCGTTCTTGGTTAGTTTATATTATAATGTAACTAATTTTCGAATATTCTAAAGTCGGCAAAATCAAAATGATGCATTTTCGCAGTTCGCTACTTCGGTTAAACGGAATTTTTCCCGATAAATTGAACAGGTTCTGAGAAAAGATACCATCCCACAATAAGCGGGCCACCCTGTACATTAACGGGCTTGCATAATATAAAAACGCCATTAACCGGTACAAAATTTGGTAGAACGTAATAGATTTTAAGAAAAACAATAAAGTCCGGCGCTCATAACTAACATCTATAGACATATAATTCGACTGCTCATTATAAAAAAACTCTAAAGCACCTGTTGCGTTGAAATGACACAGTACTAAAGGAAGAGGCTCATTTCAGTGATGCGTTTTTTTTTCGAACACCGAGTACAGTCACGGACTTGAGCGATTAGGTTTAATTAAATAAATTACATGTCTCTATTTCACAAGAATTGCGGTTTGCGAAGGCTGTCTTAGTAGGATTCATCGTTCAGAGGGAATGCGGATCGAGCTGAATTCGACCAAATTTGTCGACAATATTAATTCGGTCGATGGTACGGGAAAATAATGCTACTTAAATCAGTAAAATCATACAGGGTGTCACACCGGGAATTTTGTCGATCTGTAGATGCGGTAGAGGAACTTTCTTATTTTCTGAGATATTTAAAATTTCATGTCAAAAATGACGTTTGTAGGAAACAATATCTGTAAATTTTTTTCAATTCCTTAAAATTTCTCCCTATTAATTAACCCTGTCCAACATGTTTTGTTGAACAAATTTATTTAGTTAGCCATGTCAATTATTACTAAAGCAGGATGTTGAAAAAACATCAATTTATTTAAAATTGAAACCATCTATTTTCATAATTGTATCTTATTTACCGTTAACAATGGTCTTAACCATGACCACCAGTTTGACTGGAGCGGTGTAGAAAAAAAACTCGACCCGGGGACCCAGTGACTCACTAAAACTTGCTAATAAAAATGGAAAAGCTGAGAGTGAGAGGTCCTGGCAATAAACTGTTCCAATCTTACATATTAAATAGAACTCAGAGTGAAAAAATTAATATTGCCCTCAGTAGCTCTCAAACTTGCTTGGCCCAGGGCTTTTTAATATCTTCGTTAGTGAGCTATTTAGCTTAATATCCAAGGAACAGGGAGACATGTACTGTTTTGCAGATGACACCGCCATAGTCATTAGTGGAGAAAACTATTCTGAGGTTATATAATAAAAGCCGAAGAGGCTATGAAACATAAAAAGTGGGTATCATAAAAATGTTGATAAATCAAGCTTTCCCTGCTGCTCAATAACAAAAGCGATTGACCCCACTATTACCGACACTCCAATTGTACTCTTAAAATAAATAACACTAATAAAATTAAATATCTTGGAGACATTCTACTTAAGAGCATACTGAATACATCTCTAATAAAATTAGAAGATTAATCTATAAAAGCATTACAAATTAATCAATTCTATATATAAACAGCGGTAAGATTTTCCCAAAAAAATCAAAAATACTTGCAAAAATGAACGCAAAATATCACGAGACACGCACAAAATAATAAATAACTGTATTATTCCAAAGGCTAACTATCTATCTAAATAACAAAAATATATTTTTTATACGATACCAAACATATTTAATTTAAGAATATACCATTTCATAAAATAAAAAATAGAATCAAGCAGTGCCTAATAAATAGTAAAACAATAACTTGGTTCTATGCTTAGTATACGAATTGCACCACGTTGGGTATAGTCTCTGCCAATTGTCATTACACGTTCTTTAATGCTCATTCCATTTGTATCTCTTATAGTTAATCATAAAGGTTATAATATTTAAAACAAAAAATAATTGTCAATATATATAGTCCGCATAATTTGCAAAAATATTTTCAGCACCATGTTATGTGCACACACTGACTGTGATCTTCATAATACGATATTTTTGATAGGGAACGTTGTAATTAATTTTGTTGGAAATAAATTATATTATTATTATTATCATTATTCGGACATGAATTGTTAAATATCACAGAAATACAATTTTTCGGGGAACCCAAAAAAGCAATAACATATAAGTGTTTTATTTAAAAAAAGAAAGTTGATACCCACTTCCGGTATATCACGATGTGACGCTATCTTGAAAATATTTTAGCCCCCATCAAGGTTAGTTTAATATGAAATTTTCAAATTTTTGCAACTACTTTTTTAAACTATATGCAGTGTAAATGTAAAATATCGGAATTTTATTTATTCGCAACTTTAAAATATCCACTAAACATGTTTTAGACACCTTTTTTCTTTTAATTCCACTTTGGCGTTTTCAAGTGGAATTTTTCAAATTTATGACCATTGTATTATTCACTTGATGTCAAAATGAACTTTGGTTATCGAATATGAAGAAACTATCTCACCGATTTTCTATCTCTATCTCAACATATACTATTTTTTTATTTTTTACGCTTCTACGTTTCCGTTTCATTCTGAATCGTCCTGTATATTTGCATAAACACGAGAATCGTTTTTTCTCTTCACAACTCGGTATACAAGGCATAAAAAAATTTCGCCATAAAAATGCAGTCAAAAATTAATAACAAACGTTCAGCCAATAAATTGCAAACCACTAAAATTCAATTTCCGTTTAGAAAAACTGGACCCGCGCGCAACGAACTTAATTTAATCGATTTCGGACTTGAAATGTGGCTTTTAATTTATCCACTTATCTAAGTCGAGTGATTTTAATGAGAATTGCATAATTTCCCTTTTTCTCCGTTTGTTGTGGTTATTATTTGATCTTGATAGGCGCGAAGGTCGCACCTAACTAGTATTTACTTATTTAATTTTACGCTGAATAACGTTCGCTGCTCTGTAATTTATTCAATTGAATTTGTGATTTTAATAGCTTAGTTACATCAATCTTGTTTACCTGTATCCTGGCTTCCGTTAGTCCTATTTTCATTGCCAGCTCTTCTCTGCAAAAGAAAAAAAAATAGTAGTTTATAGGTAAGACAAATAAATAATTCTTTAAATAAAACATTTGCAATTGTTTTTCAAAAAAGTTACATAAGTGCGAATGTTATGAGTTTTCGATTAGCGTCTCATTTATTTATTCATTAAATTATCTCTAAAATCGCAGTTCTCTTGCTTTTATTAATGGAGAAGCAGATCTTGAAGAGCAAATTTATGATGGAGCAGGCAAGCACACCGCACGCAAACATCTAATTGGAAGTGCAAAGCTAGCAAACCCGCAAAAGTTTTCAAGCAAATAAACTTCAAACGTTGACAATGGAATAATTAGAGTGAAAGTCTCGCCCAAAACATATGCGCATGCGAAAGTTTGAGAGAAACAGAAATGGCAGGTGCTTTAGTCGAAATGACAAAAATCTAACAGCAACAACAACAGATCCTCAAATTAACTAGCGATGTTAAGTAGTATGTATAATCATTTTTTGTGTAAAATCATTTTTTTATGTTTTGGTTCATTTCAATAGAACAAAAAAGTAGTAAGAATTGTATAAGTAAACCAAAAAAAACCGTTCCATTATTTGAGCTCTCTCCTAATAAATGTAAATATTTTCTAAACCAATACAATTTCTTTTAATTTTTTTCGACTACAATGCAGCAAGGTTTGAGGATACTTCTTTATGGCTTCTTAATTCGAAATTTATAGCTTTCTTATAGAATCTGTTGTATTAATCTATGATAGCAACAGACTAATATAAAGCACGTTTTAAAATATCCATAAAATTAATGTAATTCTTCACGGAAGCTCCCGCAGGCTACTGCTATCCGATTTGCAGTTTCAGCTAAGCTCAGGATGATTGGCGAAACATTAGCAAATACATACATCGCAAAATAAATACATGTCATGAAATCAATCGTGTGAAATTGGAGAAATAATACCGTCATTCTAACGTCTGCCCTAACCAACCAGAACTAACTAAACGAGTAAGGAAATTTGCAAGGTCCTAAAAATTAGTTGCACGATTTTCTTGTATTATCGCCCCCTGTTGGTTACTCAATTTTTTATTTCATAGAATTTTTAACGTTCTCTACAATATTTTAAGTTAAAGTAAACACAGTAGTTTAATGCAAACAAGCTTCAAAAACAGAGTCAAAAACGAAAATTCTTATCTCATTGCGTTCAGAGACGAAGGATATCTCAAGTGATGGAAGTATATTTGCTTGTATATAGCTTAACTAATTACTTATACTGTCAAACATTTTCGCCGCCTTATTTGTCAACCGAAACGAAATTTGGCTGTTCAGTGGCTTACGCGGATACCGAAGAGAACTTTCTATTTGTAACAAAAAACAGCACAAAAAGCGTCCACAAATCACCGTTATCTAAATAAGCAAAATGTGTATATCATGTTTGGGTTCTGCGACTAACGATAAAGCAATCGAATGTCCACGGCAAGACATTCCGGCTTGTCTGCAATTTGTCCGATGGCGGCTCCTTTCTTTTCATAAAAACTCGCTCTCGGCAATTTAGACCCACGAAAAGATCTACGTATAGATTGAGACACCTTCCATAAATCGCGGGACAGTTCAATATTCTTTTAAGCATGCAAGCTTTAAGTTGAAATAATAGAAGTGAACTAAATATAAAATCAAGCAATTTTCTAATCCTAAAGGATTTTTGTCATTTTGCATAAATAATCATTTTCATTTTTATTACTTAGCAGGATCGAACACTATTCATAAATTTCAAGAAAAAAATGTTACCTGGTGAATACGTCTGGATAGTGAGTCCGAGAAAATGCTTTTTCTAACTCTTCCAGCTGGTAACTTGTAAACGTGGTCCTGTACCTTCTTTGTTTGCGTTTTGGTGCAAATTCGTCGGGTTCAGGATCACTTCCATCACTATGTTCTTGACCCGCCGCTCTGGGTTCAACTCCAGCGGCTGGTGTCACTTCCTCTGATACGCCCATGTCTTCAGAGTTGGTCTCGGGTGAAACGGATTCTGAAATAACAAGAAAGTTTGTTCAAGAAGATCTTGGATCTTGGAACTAAACAATTCATAGTAATAATCAGTTTCATGTTTTCGTGTTTAAAAGTGTTGCCTACCGGAAATGTACTACTGTAATACTAGTTAAGCTCTGACGAAGCAAACAAGATGATTTGCGAAACGTTTGCAAGTTGACTCAACAAAAACAGGCACATGAGGAACCCAGAAGTTTTGTAAATATTAATTGAGAATTAGGATCGTTCCCTAAAGTTGGCCATAGAAATATCAGTGATTCTAAAGCGTGTCTTCTTCTCATTAGTTTTATATGCGAAAATCTTAAACCCAATGCTTCGAAGCTTATTACAAGCTTTTAGATTTGAATTTATACCAAATAGGTATTAAACCAGATAAATCAAGAAAGAGGAGTGGTTGAAACAATACAAAGAAACACCTGGAGTATTTTGCATATAGTCGATGAAATATAATACATAATTGGCCGAAAATTTTGAAAATCTACAAAGGACGCTTAAGAATATGGATAGTATGAATTAGCATTCAGCATGAACATGAATATGAAAAAAAAAAACAAAGTTTATGCTGATAATGAAAATAAAATTACTCCTCGTCTATTTTAACACACCTTTATAATTTAAAAAAGCGAACAGTTTTAATTCCTGGGCGATGGAGATTCGAAGTAGAAATGGCAATGCAAGTTCTTCTCAGTACGACTGTAAGTTGTAGAATCCTACACACTTGAAACCTATGCAGAAGCGTTTTAATAAAGAAATAGGTAAGTATATTAAATGAACACAGTAATACATGATAGAATTCATTAAAAATAGAATTGTAAATTATCACTGAAGCAAAAAAAAGCAAGTTCTAAGTATCCTGGCTCAAGAATTTGCATGAGAAGTCCGGATTCTCATCACGGCTGCAGTAAGCGATACCGGAAGTGTAAGGAAAGGAAGGAAGGAAAAGACGAAATAAGGAGAATTAGATAATATATTCAGTAAAAGAGAAACGAACATGGCGAAATTGACATTTGCTCATAGTGCGGTGCTGTGAATAAAGTAAACTTGAGATCATAAAACGGTCAAAGCACTCGAAGAAGATTTCATTTATAACCTATCCAATCGTAAGGGTTAAAGATTAAGTTTTAAAACATCCTGTATACATCAGCTATATTAATTTAATAATAAATGAGGCGGTGATAATGTTATTACTTTGATTATGTTAATTTTATCTGGCGCGTTTCATTTAAAAATATAGGTTTATTTTGCCATAAATACAGGTAAAACTAGTTCCGTCCTTGCCTCGAACCTGTCTGACGACGATTACGTTCAAAAGTTAAAATTCTCGAATGATTAATATAGGGACGAGCTAGGAAGCGTGTATTTGCTTAATAAGTTTGCATTCATCGCGCGGACAAATTATTTATTAACTGATTTAGAATATAAATGAGCGGCACTAGCCGAGACTACAAATTGGTGGAATATGATTTGGAGTTTCGATTAACTTTGTCATTAATGCAGTTTATTTCGTCCCTTTAAACATTATCGATATTTGCGATCGATTATCAACAATTGCGTCGAAAAATGGCTCAGTCCATCTACGGTTCGAATACATATCAGCTTCTTCCATTACGGTTTAATAGTAACTACCAAAATTTAAACTTTTTACTTTTATACATCTTCAGTTTATCTGAGCTGGGTTCTTTTTTCTTACTCTTAGTTGCTGTAAATATCTTGTTTGAATATTTGAGGTTTAGATTACGGTACACATTGGCAAGACCTGTTTAAATAAGTATCCTTTATTTATAACAATGTTTCTGCATCTCCTATTAACTTATTTTGTCCCAGTGGTGCGTTAATGCACCACCTATCCTATGATTTTTTTTTGTCACATCCAGGAAATATTTTTGCACATCCATTTAGATCACTAATCGCTAATTTATGTGTAAAAAAAAGATCTTATATATGACTTCAAAAGTTGACAAAAGCGGTATATACATTTGTATCACATTTTCAAGTGCCTGAATACACCACTGGTGTTATCTGTGAAACCAAACTTTGTGATTGCAAGCCTAGACAAGTCAGCGCATATAGAATAAACATCCAATAATTAGCGTGTTCTTTAGTATTAGTTTGTGCCTTGTGCAATGAACGTTACAGTTCGTAAAATATGGCATTTCCGAGGTATTGGATGAGGACAATAACAATGAAAGTCGTTAGTATTATTTGGATTTATGTATTCTTATGTACAAGGAATGGAATGCTACAGTTCATTCCTTGTAAATTTATGCTAAAAACAACGTGGAAAAATATTTACAGAACATATTGACGGGGTCTATATTCCACACGACGTGGATACCTTGACTGACGAAGAAGATATGAACAATAACATAAATCTATAAGAGTTTGGGGTACCAACTGAAATCGTTGAAACTTTCGTGTTACATACACCGAATCATACAGTTGTCCTTCGACAGTCCTGTAATTCATCAACTACTGAACCTAAATGGGAGTCATCAGATGATGAAACCTTGGAATTCAAAAGAAGATGTATGCTTTCTGCAAACGACAGGCTTGCTTCTACTGTCAAATTGAAGAAAGGTCAGATTGAGTACACTAACACACCTATATCCGATGAATTTAGATCATGTGAGGAACTAAAAAATTCTCTTTCTGGAAAAACTACGCTTGAAATATTTTTTATGTTTTAAAATATGCCCGAGACAATAACCGCCATGAATTCTCGTTGTCAAAAAATGATACTTTTAAATATGTAGGCATTTTATTGTTCTCGGGTTATCATTTCTTGCCATATATTTAGCATTATTGGTCTACAATTCACTTGTAACTGTAGCAAATAATGTTTCTAGTGTATATCCTGTCCAAAATGTAAAACGCTATAATAAAAAAGAACGGAAAGATGTAAATATACCCCAAACTTATGTAATTGCCCAATATAATAGATATATGGGCGGGGTAGATTTACATGACAACGAAGTTGCTAATTACAAGTGCCAGGTATTTGGAAAAAAATGATGGTGGCCTTTATTTCGTAACTCAGTTTAGTAGTGAATACACGGAAATTGTATAATATTGTCAACGAACAAAAAATTTCCCAGGTACATTTTATATCTTACATTGCTTTGCGACTTTGAAAAACTGATAAAACAATTACTCAAAGAAATCTTGCACCTGTCATGGATGAAGTGCGTTATGATAATCAAGGTCACCTCGTGATTGTTCATGCTAATAAATCCCGAAGGAGATGTAGAATCTGCCACAGCCACACAATTTACCAAAAATGAAACCAGTGGTGCGCTCACGCACCATAAAATATTATACGTTTTTTTGTATCAAATCAGGTTCTATTTGGAAAACAATCTACTTTTAGTTGTTTTCTGTCGAATTTGAACTTTCTTTTGTATATTTATGCATAAATTATATGTTACATCTTATGTGCCCCAAAACATTATTTAATGTTTTTTCCCAGTGGTTCGTTTACGCACCAGTATTTTTTTGTATTTTTCGAGTTTTTATTTTTTTTGTCACATGATTCTTAAGTGCAATAAAATAAATAATTTCAGAGCAAAAAAGTGTTTTTTTATTTATTTTTTTTTTTGATGCTTGGGATAATATGGTTTAAGGAGAGATGCGTTTCTGACCCAGCGAGTCCTAATTTCATAGTCTTGTTCGAAATTGTAATGCTAACTTTTGAAATGGTTGTAACTACAAAAAAAAGAGCTGTTTCAATTCTAACCCTGGAAAAGCTTCTATTGGAAATTAGAAAATTTCCATAACACCAAAATATTCTTGATACAATTTAACAATTTCTCTTAGAACCCGAGAATGGATAGACATAATTTGATGCTGTTTCCACTAATGTTTACCTAACCGAACCGAAGCTTACTACGCTATTTAACGTCTTTTCAAAAATTGCAACTATTTTTTTTATTGACCAATTCCACTTTTTTTTTTAAATAAATACATTACTATAAAAAAAATTCTAATTGGTACAAAACATTTAAATCAATATTCAAATGACATTATGAATAATAATTAAGCCTGCAGATTTTTTCAAAATTAAAACTTCACGTCAAACTTTGTTATTGTGATCCTTGTATTCTGTATACTTCACAAGTGGGCACCGGATAAAGTAAAGAACCACCCGTCCAAAAAATCGAATAGCAAAAAAGGTGTTGCGTCTTGTGTCGCCGGTATCGGGTTCCTGTACACAATTCTCTTGAACCCAACACGTTTTCAACAAACAAACCAATTTGCCGCAATTCCATTATTACCATTTTCTCCGATACCTCGAAATAATAGACTTAGGCCTCCAAATAGCGGATTATCTTTTCGACAAAATCTTGGTTCGAGCACCGGTGCATAAAGAAAATAAAGAAGTCATACTGCGATGATCTGGTTATGTTGAAAATCTTCGACAAAGGGACCTCTCGAATCATTACACTGCTTAACAGGCCCCGGATTAGGTTTCGGTCTAAGTGCCGGCGGCTGAATTCTATTGTTATTACACATCACAACAAAGTGAGGAAAGAATCCTCGCGATGTAACAAGCGGCGTCGCCATATATAATCTTTCAAATGTGCCGACGCGTTATTGCGGAAAACATCGCTCCGTATAAACAGCTCCTTTGTGCTGGGCGCGTATTGTGAAATTTTCATGTGGCGCGCATAAGGGAACGCCCTTTGCGAAGAGTTTTTTATTTGGTCGTGGCATTACGTTTATAATGATCTCTTCAGACCGTTAGGGCGGGTAAAGAGCTCAAAGATTACGGCGTTTGTATGGTTTGACATCTCTGTCAGACACCGGATCCACACTTGTTGCCAAAGCTGTTTTCGAGCCCGCGTTTCCTCGTTAGAATTTCAACACGACTTGCACAATGTTATATGGCATTACAAATAAAAAATAGATATTCACCACAGATAAAAAACGAACATTAATGATGAAAAATATTGCAAATATATTGAGAGGAAAAAATAAACCTTT